CCAATAAACCCTTTTATTCCATTTTTAGAAAACCTTCATTGCATTTTAAAAGATTTAACTATTTTTTATCTATCAATCTACCTCTCTCTGTTCATATCTATCTACTTAAAAGGGAAAGAGAGAGAAAGAAAGAGAGAAAGAGAGAGAGAGAGAGAATCTTCTATTTACTATTAGCTCCCAACATGCTTGCAACCGTAGCTGTCAGTGCTGGGCCAGGTAGAAGCCAGCAGGCCAAAACTTCATCTGGGTCTCCCACATGCTTAACAGGGACTGAGCACTGGAGTCATGATCTGTTGCTTTTCAGGACTCCTTAGCAGGAACCAGGATTCGAAGCAGAGGAGTCTGGACTCACACTGGTACTCTGATATGGAACACAGGTTTCCCAAATGGTTGCCTAACCCACTGTGCCACAATACCAAACGCCACATTTTTTTTCTTTATCATTCTCACAGCATTTCATCTGGATTACTGCTGGGAATGGGTTTTTGTGTTACCCTTTCTTGGCTAGGGCATGTGTTGTCTGCTAATGAGTGACAGTACAGACTGTTTCCAAAATGCCCCACAGTGCAGATAAGAGGAGTTGGCAAAGGAGCAGGGAGCAGGCACAACCAGATGTGGTGTGGACTAAGCTCGAGGGAAATCAGCTACCTACATGGCAGGATTCTGATATCTGGGCTGTGCTTGGGATTCATTCTCCGCATCCATTCATCTTGAGGAAAGATGGCTCCCTTGACTAACAAAGTCAGTAGGCTACATTTAATCTTCTCAGTGCTTCCTCATTATTTGAGGGAGTCAGAACAGTAGTTGTCATGATATCTTAGTTCCACGGCACAATTTTAGGCCAGCGTATATAAAGATTATTTCCATACGGTCTGAACAGCAGCATCATTCCCCGCTGGAGACTTCTTCCACCGCCTTGTAAGACCTTGGCTTTGAAGGCAAGTGTCATCATTCTGAACATGTTGTCAACCTGAGACAGCCTTGCTCTTTGGGGAATCTGCTGCATGCTTTATAGGTCATAGTGCCTAGTGAGACACTGGCTCCAATGCTGGCTGAAAGGCTTCTTCCAACAGGAGTATTGTACCTTCCAACTACTTAGCCACTTTTTTGGCCCCAGGCAAACATTTTCATAAATGGAGAGTTGGCAGGTGGTATTAAGAAAACAAGCCAAAAGAGCCACTGGTGTCTGGAGCCAAAGCTATAGAGAGAACAGAATACAGAAAACCAGAAACAAGTCTGGATGACGCTTGGATTTTAGGTGCAAGAGGGCAAAAAAGACAGTGTAGCCATCTGCCAGACGAGAGGGCTAAAAATACAGGCTTTTCCAAATAGTAAAGAAACACAGAGTGCAACTGCTGCCATGGTTAAATGGGATTTCTAATTCTCTTCATAATGGTAATAACTTACATTTATATGGAGCCTTTCATCGGCTCTGATCTCAGGGAGGCTCAAAGCCTTTTCTGAGCTCTTAAATCTGATCCTCAACAAGCTAAGGGGTGACATCTATATTTGTGCCATATCTATTTTAGAGAAGAATGACTCATATGAACACTCAGAGGCAGAGGAAATGAATCCAGAGTGGGGAAGGAACAGGTGGAGGGAAAGAGGTTGTGGAAAGGACAGATGCTTATTTGCAACCATGATCCTCAGCATCCCCCAGCTGAACAAACAACATGTCCACAAAGGTAAAGTTCCCAGAAAATCTGAATGCTTCCAGTCATTCCAATTTCACTTTCTCTGCCTCCTGTTCCTTCCTGGGGGCCCAGGCATCTTTGGAGTATATTCTATCAAGGCAAATGTTTTATAGAGGGGATTTGATTTCTGTTTTGCTGAAGACAGATTTTTTTTTTCCTGGCATTCTGTAAGTTTAGAAACATAAGATACCTTTGGGATCCAGGTAAGGGGAGGTCAAGGTTTAGGAGGAAGGGGAATGATAAATTCTGGTCTGTCTCAGTAAGATACTCAATCAAACACGCAAAGACAACAGATGTAATATACCCAACAATGATGACTTACTAAAATGTTAGAGGATAAATAAACTCACAGAACACACAGACAGAAACAAAGCAAAGGCAAAAATTATTTAGAGACCTGGATTTTAGTAAGGATGAAGATGGAAGACCCTTTGGCATAGGTATTTTTTTGTTTATATGTTTGTTTTGTGTTTGTTTTTTTCTGCTGATATGAATGGGAGGTTAGGCCTCAAGGAAAACTCCTTCCTTAGCTAAGGACTGAATAAACAGGTGGCTTTTTTCCTTAATTACTCTCTTCTGAAATTATCTCTATGCAAGTGTTTTGGAGAACGCATGCCATTACAGGATGAATGAGATTCTGAGAGGAAGGGAAGCAGTGACACAGAGGAGCACTTGGCTTGGACCAGATTCTGTGCTCTGGACTTGCTCTTAACCAGTTGAGTGACATATAATTGAGTTTCACTACCATGAGAAAATCCCTGGGCTTCCTTACCATTGAAAGTGACAGCCTAGGCTGGGTATTTGGTGCAGCGGGTAAGCCAGTGCTTGAGATGGACAACTCACATTGAGCTCAAATCTTGATTCTACCTTCCTACTAATGCTGCAGACCCCAGGAGGCAGCAATGATGGCTCAAGTAATTGGGTCCTGGCTACCCACATAGACTATCCAGACTGAGTTTCTAGCTTCTGGCTTTAGCCTGGTTTAGGACTGGCTACGGTGTACATTTTTGGAGTGTAGCAGTAGATGTGAGACACACAGTCTCTCCCACCCTCACCTGCTCTTTGTTTTTAAATAAATAAACACTTTTTGAAAAGTGATGACTTTCTAAACCTGGGGAGATCCCTGGATCTTTTTAAGCCTTGGCATTTTTATCTGAAACATTGAAACAGGAGTATCTTCTCTCCTAATATTGCAAGAAAGGTGTTAGCAGACGTCATTGCATGCTCCAGAGGTTTGGCTCCAAATCCTTCAAATTACTGATGGGAAAACAGTAATCCTTAAGGGCTGGAATACTCTAAGTTAGGCCACATAAATGATTTCTTAACAGAGTTGAACTATATCCAATACTTGAGCTTGATTTAAGCTCCCTCCCCTATAGTTGTTACAATGCCTTTTTCTTTTCATTTTGTGTGGCTGGGTGAAGATAAAATGAGAAGATGGGAGAACTTGGAATAAAGTAGTGGTCAATGACAACGATGGGAAGGTAAACACAGGGACAGCAGGATGGCTGGCAGGTGGGTATCCTCAGAAATACATTCAATAACTATGGATGAGCACTGGTTTGGGAAAACCATGAAGTCTATCAGAAGCCAGCAGGACAGCCTTGTCATGGTAAAAACCAGTTAGGACCATTGAGAAACCAAACACCCCAAAATACCTGAGTTTAGCTTCCAAGATTTGCTTCTCTGGGCAATGACATTAAGATTCTTACTTGTAGATTTTTAGCAATAGCTCAACACCATTATTTCCTAGCCAGATAATACCCAGAAAATACAAAAACAAGAACACGTTGCCCATGGTTACTATAGATTTCAAACAAGTACCATTATGTAGAAAGAGGTATCAATAGTAGTTCTCAAGTAATAAGTTTCTCCCAGTGCTTCCTGGCCAGGTGGGGTAAACCTGGGGTCAACACAAAACCAAGGACTTCAAAAAAGTCTGCTGATAAGACGTGGTGAGTGCCAGATAAGCAGAATCCTTTCGGGCAGGCATGAAGTACTGGTCATTTACCACCTTTAGCAAATGCAGAAGCCCTGGCTGCAAATGGATTTCTTCATTAGCCAAGAAGAACATCTACTGCATTAACAAGTCACACAAACAAGAAGCAATTAGGGAGCATCTTTAAGTAGTTTCTCACTCATAATCATATTTTTTTCTGAAATGGGCTGGCTTCAAAATGTCTCTAGTTTGTCATGAATAGACTACTCTGACCTTCAATAATTATGGTCTTCCTGGAAAGGAAGAGGACATCATAAACAGACGTGAACTAGAACATCCAAAACTTACACACAGATTCTCAAAAGCCAGGCTTTGACCAAAGAGTTTTACTTGGGGACAAGGTGGACCCAAGAACATCTTCCAGCTTCTACAGCTCCAGCATAATGAGTTTCTACCACTCTACAAGCAAATGCCTGTTGTTTTTTCTATAGGGATTCCACCATTTATGTAATGTATGGACAGAGCAAACGTATACTTTTGCAGAAGTGTGAGGCTGCCACAATGGGGATGGGATTATTTGGCTGGGGAGGTAAATGCAGAAATTCTACCAGCAACTGGCAAAAAACACAGTCTTTCTAATAATAACAGCTACCTTGGGTGAGATTAGTGGGCAGAATCCTCTTCTAGCGGACATGGTAAGAGACATACAAGGGGAGGGCACCCACAGAATTTCCCAACCAGGTTCCTTCACTCTAACAGCAAGGGCAATGACAAGTATCTGAACGTGGTTAAGGGTTCCCTTTGGGCTCCAGTCCTAGGCAGTGTCTCAAATACCAACAGACAAAGCAAATAATAATACCTGGTGCTGTGGCTCCCTGACCAGTGAGACTTCAGGATGTATTGATCACCCACTTCCCACGCCTTTCCTAATCATTTAAGATATGTGGCTTCTGGAGAGATAGTGTTTGAAAATCTAGGCAGTGATCTCCTTCCAGCTTCAGCATTCTTGACTTTTTATTGATACTCCTCATGATTTTTAGAAGCTTTACCCAATTAGCAAATTCTACCATCAGTTCAGGTGAGTACCTAGGAATAGCATTTTTTAATAAAGAGCACAATGTAGTGGGGATGATTGGATTGTCAATGGATACACCATTTCTCAGGTTATGGCTGCAGGAGAAAGGAGACCTAGGAAATGGCGAGTAAACAGTGTACAAAGTAATCAATGAACTCAAGCTGTGAGGAGGACCCAATTTCCTCCTCTCTGCAGACTAGCGGGCACCATGTGCCTAGGATGATTACCTTTGAAGTGAAGAGTCCTGCCATTAAACAACCAGAGCATTCAAGTCTGAAGATCTCAGCCTTACCTGGGGACATGGAGGAGTCATAAGAATTCCTCTCCTTGCGGTTCACTTTGAAGGTCTGGATGTCCTTTTCCCTGTACGTCCCAAAGCCTTCGAAGCTCCTCCTTTTACTCCCACTCACGTCACTGTCCCACTTGTCGCTCGAAGGGTTCATGTCACTGAATACATCCAGGCTCTCCGATCTTGTGCTGCCACTATCCCCACTGCTGCCAGAGTACCTTTTCGTGCATGAGTCCACAGGCTCACTGCTCAGGTCCCCTTTGTCCTTGGCTTGCGTCCAGTGCTGGGAATCGGAAAGCGACAGCGTTGACAGGGTGTCCACTTCGAAGTTGTTCTTGGAAGCTTTGTGGCTGGCATCGCTGTGCAGGTGTCTTGGTTTCTCCTTATGCTTACTTTTCTCATTCCCCAGCTGGAGCTCTTTGTCCCCACTGCCCAGCCGCTCACTCAGGAGGTGAGTGGAGAAGCCTGTGGCCTTGCCTGTGAAGAGACCACTCAGGTTGTCGTGGGTCCCCAGGATCCGGTCTTCCTTGTGCTTATGCTTGTGTTTGTGTTTTCTCTTGTGGAGCCGACCACTGGATAGACTGCCACCTCCCACCTTGGGAGGGTTCAGGGATGGCTGCATGTCCCCCAGGCCCATGCCAACAGGTCCTTGCAGGTGTACCCCGTGCTTTGCTTTATGTTTTGCTGCCCCCGACATCTTGACATGGGAGCTTGTGTGGAACTGAGGTGGGGGCACTGTTGGCCTCATGAAGGGGGAAGCTGCTCCAAGCGTGTGCGATAGGTACAAAGGAGCTGGGTACTGACCGTAGTAACCAAGGTTCATCATAGGCATTGATGTGTAAGGCATTCCATAGGGTGCATAGTAACTTCCACTGGGAATAGGGTAGCTGAACCCTTGTAAAAAAGGCACCTTTGTCATGGTGTCATTGGTTTTTGCAGGCCTACCACGCTTCTTCTTTGACTTCAAGTCTGAAGTCCTACGAAGATAGAGCAACGGGTCATACTGGATATATGGCACCGGGTAATAGTGATCGAAGTTAATCCGAAAAATGCTGGGATATGGATTCTCATGGTAAAAGGTGTAACTCCGGTGAGAGATCCTGAACACTTGGAACTTGCTGATGAGCTCTTCCAGCTCTGCCAGAAACTGGAGATCATCCCGGTTTTGCAGGCTTTTCCGTTTCCTCTTGTGCTTTGGCTTCTTGAGGCTCTCGTGGGCAAGAAAGTTGTCCACAATGAGATGCTTCTGCCGGTGGCCATGTCGATTCTTTGTGCTGGTGTCGGATGGGATGGCTTCCGGGTTGTCCAGGGAGCAGAAATCAAAGGAGTATCTCCGTCGGGATTCTGAACTCTTTTCTGCTTGATCAGACGTGCTGTTGTTGTCTGTCCCGATGCCACTGTCACTTGGGATCGTCTCCTCGCTGTGTGACTCACTCACAGGGGACAGCGTGATTTCCTTCAGGGAGCCAATCTCGCAAAGGTGTGAAGGAGAGTTGGCCATCAGCCTGGGGGGAGACAACTTCCAGGTTGCACTGTGGATTCCCTTTTGAGTTTTGGTTGGAAGAGCACTGATGGGCTGGAGATTTGGCATAGTTTTCAACTCTGAAAAATTGGTTTCAGTGCTGGCGGGGCTTAGGTTGCCATTGGACCCACCTAACTGTGTTGAAAGTGGGTGCATAGCTGCTGGTGAAGATGCCACAAGTGACTGAAAGTTGGAAGGCACGGCTGGAACATCCGGCTGGCTAGAAACAGGCCTTGGGTGCTTGATGGCTGATTTGGGTTCTTCGGATGGGGGTGGCAGCTCTGTTCTAGGCTTTCTGCCCCTCTTCTTGCCAATGTAGATGGTCCCCCTTTTGCTGACGTTAATCTGCTTGCCCAGTTTGCTTTCGATGGCTGTGGCCCCTGGACTGGTCTCTGGAGGAGCTTTTGCCTTCAGAGCAATATTGCTGGAGCAGGACAAGATCTGGTTCAAAATATTTTTCCTCTTCAGTGTCTTCATCTTATTGATCGTCTTGATGGTCTTCTTATCCAACACGCCAAGTTTTCCAACTTTTTTGTGAAATTTCATCTCGCTCATGGGTTTGTCCTCTCCTGGCACAAGTTGGGCCAACTTTGCTAAATTGCGTCGTCTCTTTCTTTTCTTAGTGCCAGGAAACTCTCTGCTGATGGGACTGACTGGGCTGGTGGACGTGCCCTCGTGAATTGTCTCCACTGTGAGCAGAGGCTGCTTCTTGGGGCGTCCCCGCTTCTTCTTGACTGGAGTGATCACAGTAAGACTGTCTGTGTTGGTGTACAGAGGGCTGGATGGGGTGATGGGATAGGCAGATGGGGGTTCCACCATCAGTTTATCAGAGGTGGCCATGACTGCCTCTCGGAGCATGCTAGTGGGTTTGGGCTTGCTGCATGTCCATCTCCGTTTTGCAGCAAATTTTGGATGCTGAATATCTGGCAGCTTTCTTGATGGAGAGTGCTCTGTGCACATTGGAGGTGTCATAACCAAGGGTGGCTTCCGTGGCTTAGGCACACCTCCTGGGACAATTTTTTCAATATTCCCACCAGTTTCAAGGCCAACTGAGGGGGGCTCATTCTCTATAATTTTACACAACTTGGGGACACGAGGATCTTTCTTATTGCCCTCTGAATTGGAAAGAATCCTGGTAACTACTTCGCTGCTCATAGTGATTCCAGAAGCCAGAGCTTTCTCAGGGATAATTTTATCGACCACAGCTTTAATGGACTGCCTCTTCTTCCTTTTATGGCTGCTTGGATCTAGAGAGGGTGTCTTGATGGGGATAGTAATCCGGACATGACTGGAGTCATTTTCAGGACCACTGATGCAATTCACGTTCGGCCTGGCTGGTGACACTTCTTGGGTATTCTCTGCAGAGTAGCTATCCCTTTTCCCTTCGGCACTGTCAAATACTTTCTGAGTACTCTTGACCCAATCCAGGTCTGGGTTTGGGACGGTCTGACTTGCATCTTTTTTACTAGACTTCTTTTTGCTGCCTATGACAGGTGGTTCCGGAGCATCCTTAGTGGCCCCTCCATCTTGATCTCCTAAGGACTGAAGCCCATTGCACTCAGCCGAGCTGTTGGGTGGGGCTGGTGAGCTATGGTTACTTGGGGATGGAACCACACTTCCCAAGAGTAGATCTTTGCTACTGTTAGACAATTGACTCCACGTGGTCCCTGCACTGCCTTTCTTACCCTGGCCCTTTGCAAAGGAAGCCACGGACTCAAGAGCTGGGATCTTGCTGGTGCTTGCAGATTCTCTGCCAGACTCTGTAGTGATGAAGCAATTCTGAGTGGTGGGTCCACTGTCAGAGGTGCTGGACCAGTCCACATGGTTCTGGCTGCTGCTTTTTTGCTGGTGCTTTGGTTTTAAGGTGTCCCCGGTGAAGTCCTGTGTGAGGCCTGGGTCATAATGGAGAGCTGAGTGCTTCTGTGGCCTCTCATATGCCTGAGGTTAGGTAGGGTGGGGAGGGAGAGAGAAAGAGAGTACAATGATGAGTACGTTGGAAGGACAAACAACTCAATTTCAAAAGGCTTAATTATTTGAAAAATTAGGAACAGGCACCATGTTAAAAGAGACTCTTAATTCCAACACTTAAGTGTTCTCAAATGCAGCACCACAGACTCATTGCATAGGCTTTGAACGTTCATAAAGTTGCTTCAATTGCTGTATTTTTCTCTTAAATAACAGAAGCTTGGCCTATTTTCAGCTGAAAGCAATCTGAGTAGAACTCTTTAGAGGAGGCAAGGTGCTGAAGGTCAAGTAGCCCAGTGTCTGTGGTTGACAAGTCGGGGTGCTGAAATTTGAGCCAGGGGACAGGGTGGGGCAGTCCTGTCCAAGGGGGTATGGTCCAGAATGGAATCTTGATGTCTTGTCTCCTAATATTCTTGTTTAGTTCCCTGCTTTTCTTCAGATACAGATCGTGCCCTTGCTTATTCATATGCTACAGTTTAATACACAGTTTATTCTACAGTTCAATATCTCTGTGTTCCAATGAGTAACTCACAAGGAACCACTGCAAAATACAAAGACAACACATATTGAGGAATGGAGGGCAAAAATGAGGAGTATGAAGACTGCATAAGAAAAGTGGTCAAAGGCAAGGAAAAGAAATGGAAAAAGAAAACAGACTAGAAAGAATTATCCTGAACCTTCAAATGCATACAAACTCTGGGAGCGTTGGGGGCTTAGCACATTAAAAGATCCTTAAGCTCAATCTTGTTCTCTTGCTTAGACCCCAAAGGAATCTTGGTTTTCCTATGGAACCAGATCAGCAAGAAAAAAAAAAAATCATTGTCATTCAATATCATGTCTCTCAATTGTCTTAACCATGCGCCCTCTACATTGATTACATTCTAATGTCTTCTGTACCTGTCTTAGGATGGATTCTTCAATTGAAAAAGGTTAAGACTTGCTGTTTCAGGCACAGCACAGTAAGAATATGTGGAGTGTTAAGGAATGAACATACTTGTTCCCCAAATTCACGCAGGTGTTTAAATTCTGAAGGTCTAGATCAAGAACTGATGGATTAAAGGTAGAGATTTCATCGAATTGTGATGTTTGAGAGGTAGTCTGGGAGTTTGTCCTCAGTAGTAGTTCTTGTAAGTGGGAAATTATTTAAGCTGAGTTTGGCCTAACTTATTTCTTGGCTTCCTAACGTATGTGGTCATTGCTCTGCACATGCCTGAATGTGGTCAGCTTTCACCAGACTACTATGTATTTCACCAGCTTTTGCCAGACTACTATGGCTGGCCTGCCCCTGAAGCAACTGATTTCCTGACACTAACCTTCAAGAAACCTTTCCACCCCAAAGAAACTTTTCTCAGGTAATTTAGTTAAATAAATGAAAAACTGGCTAATGACCATCAGCATCTACAAAAACCACAAATGGAAGGGATGGCAAGCACATCATCGCTAATTATTAAGACTATTTTTAATAGATATGTTGTCATTGTTCCAGACAGATTTTAAGCCTTGCTACTAGGGAGAAGCACCCACTAAAGCTCATGTTTTCTAATTTACACAGGATGTTTTAGTTTAAGTTTTGTTTAAAAAAGGGGAAATCTTAGTAAACTGAAGAATGATTAACCTTGAATTTAGAAACATTTTATTGCAAAACATTCAATTATATGTCTGTCTATACATCCACCCATCTGCCCATTCATCCATTTATCATGTCGTTTCTCTAATTGTCACTGATGCTAGAGAACTCTCACTGGCATTCATTTGGGCATAATTTAATAATGCTTTATTAGAAATTACAATTTCTGTGAATAATAATAACTCAAATAGCAAAAATCACTATGGGTTCAATGCAATGTCAAAATGCAAGTAGGATTTCCTTCACACCAGTATAGAATCTCTAGGGTTTTTCCTGTCTCCTTGATTTTCTAATATGCTGTTTATTTTTACAACATTGCACAGGTATTTCAAGTATCATGGGTTAAGTGTCTATAGGCTAAATCTATAGGTGACAAAAGGAGAATTAAAAAAAATACTTTTTTCTTCAAACTGCAGTCTACAGCAGAGGCACCAGTGTCATCACCACACTGAAAACTGGCCCAGCCAGTTGACTGTGTTTACTAGGTTTTATTGCTGTGGTCAAAAGCTGCTGTTCCAACTTTTAAAAGAAAAGCCTAGAAATCTTACTTATGCCATAAAATACTAAATGCCACTTAATTATCTTTTATGAATCAGGGTTTTGCTAATTTAACATTTATGCTATGCATGTTGATGGGCATTATGTGTTTATTAACAGCATAATAAAGCTAGAAGAAGGCTTGGAGGCAAAGTTTTCCTGTCCATGGTTGAAAATATATTACTGATACTCAGCCATTTTATACTATTTTTAACAACTTTTTTTTTTATTTATTTGAAAGAGAGAGGAGGAGAGAGAACACATACACATAAATATGTGTATATGTATATATAACCATACACACATATAAACACACACACACACACACACACACACACACACACACACACTAAATTTGAGCTTTTCTCCACTGGTGCACTCCCCAGATGCTAAATGCCTACAGCAGCCAGAACTAGACCAAGCCAAAGCTAGGGGCCAGGAATCTAGTCCGGGTCTTTCACATGAGTAGTAGGAACTCAACAACACGGGTCATAACTGCAACCTCCCAGAGTGTGACTTAGCAGGAGCCTAGAGTCAGCAGCCACTGTTAGGTATTTAATGCACATACTCCGATACAAGTTATGGGAAGTCATTTTAACTGGTGTCTTAACTGAGAGGCAGATGTTAAACTGTTGAGAGTTTGAGTGCGGGGTAATTATTCAAAGTCATACTTGGCAGGGTGGACATTTGGCATGGGGAGTTAAGATATTGCTTGGGGGCCTGGCGTGATGGTTCAGTGGTTAAGGTCCTCACCTTGCACGCCCAGGATCCCATATGGGCGCCGGTTCTAATCCCGGCGGCCCCCTCTTCCCATTCAGCTCCCTGCCTGTGGCCCGGGAAAGCAGTGGAGGACGGCCCAAGGCTTTGGGACCCTGCACCCATGTGGAAGACCCGGAAGAGGCTCCTGGCTTTGGATTGGCATAGCATGGACCATTGTGCTCCCTTGGGGAGTGACTCATCAGATGGAAGATCTTCCTCTCTGTCTCTCCTCTCTGTATATCCGCCTTTCCAATAAAAATAAAATAAATCTTTAAAAAAAAAAGATATTGCTTGGGATGCATACATGTCACATTGGAGTGCCAGGGTTTGAATCTTGGGTCCTTTCCTGATTGTATCCTACTGCTAATGCATCCATTAGTCAGCCACAGGTTGTGGCTCAAGTAGTTACGTCTCTGCTACTCGTGTGGAAGACCTGGATACAGTTCATGGCTCCTAGTTTTGGTCCCAGCCAGGGGCACTGTGAGCATTTGGGAAGTGGACCAGCAGATTGGAAGACCACACTTTTGCCTTTCTTTCTTTGCCCCTCAAATTAGAGAGGGACAAAAATGCATGGCATAGTTTTGTGCCTAGGAAAAATAAGCCATTCCCCCTTCTTTTAGCAATGGCCTTCTCCCTGGCTCTGGACACTGAAATCCACAGAAGGGCTTCCAGCTGAAGCAAGGACTAGAATCTTGGTGCTTGATTCCCACCATGTTTGTCTGTGTTTCTATTTTCTTTTCCTTAGAACCCAGTAATGTTCCTCATGAACACTTTCATCATATTCTAGTTTCAGTTCAGTCACCAGATCCTCTACATTAAAGAAACACCCCTATTATGAAATCACAAGTCACATCTTCGTGACATGTTTCCTAGTTTAACTTTTGCATTTTATTTTTTTGTTGATCAAATTAAGACATCCATCTCTTTTTCTACCTTGTATATTATCATTGCAGAAGCATCAAGCATGATACCTGGTAAACAGCACACACTTGATAAATTCTTATGGAATGAATGAATCTATATTTTACTATAGGCATTTCATTTTGTCTGCAGTAAGACTAATGACCTATATATTGCAATATATGAAGTGCAGGCCAGTCTCCGACCTAATTTCTTCTTTAAAAAAGAATTACTTATTTAGAAGGCAGAGGTGGAGAGAAAGGGGTAGGAATAAAGAGATCATCCATCTGCTCATTCACTCCTCGAATGGCTGCAATGGCTGGACTTGAGCTGATCCCCAACCAGGAGCCAGGAGCTTCTTCTGAGTTTCCCATGTGGGTGCATAGAACATAGTGGAACTGACAGTTTCACCTTTGTGTATATGACATGCCATGGCTGATGCAGACTTGGGGTCTCATGAAATGCAATGGCATACAGCCATAATCCGGGGTTGGAGTGGTCCCTGGACTCCTTTCTGGTCCTCTCTGATCCCTTTTGGCATCCCCTCCAAGGGGAGGCTTTAATGTACTATTTCCCCTCCATTGCTCCTGATCCTTCGTTGAGCTTCTCTTTTGTCTACCCAAACTTTCATTGTAGGGCTCTCCCAGGGGAGCAAATTGCAGCTGAAATGTTAGGAATAATAGGGTGAAGCAGAGGTCCAGGGGAGCACTGGGCACCCATAAGCATAACTGCATTAGTCTTAGCTGGCCTGCCCTGAGGACACTCAGTTTTTCCAAAGCCAGGGTAAAATCCACCTTCCTGACAGTCACATGGCTTTCCTCAAAAAGGCAGATGTAAGTTAATTGGACAGTGAAACAATTAACAAGAGATAGGAAAGAGCTAACAGTAAAAATTTCATTCAAGAGGTGTTACCCTTTATGCCTTCAGGATTAAGGAAGGGTTTTGGTTCACCACTTAATGCATTTTCTTGCTTTAATTTCATGAGTCATTATCAATGGAAAGATTAGCAATGTGTTGTCTTTTGTGTGCTGATAAATGTTTTGCAATGATCATAGGTACTGCACCCAGTCATTTGTTTTTTTAAATCAAGTCAATAAACGTTTATCAAGAACTGTCCAGGTCCTGGATTTTGTAGTAGATCCTGGGAATA